TCAGATTGATCGACACAAACATTGCGATCTTGTCTCGTTCACGATATATACTGACTCACAGATATAAAGCCCCTTTTAAATGAGACTCGCATTAATAAGTACAAGTTGTAATTGCTACAAAACTTCACAATGGCCATTACCATATCTCCGTGTCCGGATTTCTGATAATTTTTAAGCGTGTTTTTCTATAATCGAAAATGATTTTCGGAAAAATGTGAATTTTAGATTTTCCTCTATAGACGACTTAAGATCTCTTGGTTTGCAGAGCGATTCTTTTTTTCGATAGTATTTTTTCAAATAAAACTAGTTTTTAGAATTGTATATAATTCATCACTACTTTTCTATTAACATTGTTTATCCCTAAAGGAACTTTGCACTTTGCCCACAAGTTTCAGATTATTTTGTGAACTTTAAGTATGGTGTTCAGTGTAAATCTGAAACGCTCAAATGGACTATAACCTGTGGTTAACGCTTCTCGAAACTTTTTCAAAACTTGTCATTATCTACAAACAATGAAAACTCATAGACTATTTTAGTCAACTTTCGCTACTGACGCTGATACGCGTCACATAAATTACCCCTATTGCTGAAAATATATAACACGTCATGTGCCATCTTAATCAAAAACCAAATGAACTTCGAAAATTGACAACGTTTTATTCTTGAATTATCTTTGAAGATGACAATATTTAATGTAAGCGAAGTTAGCAGCCGATTCGAGTATTTTTCAAAACGATTCGTCCCATTTAGAGAGCCAACTCATGAATGCTGTGAGCCAAATGCAGCTTGGAGAGCTCTATCAAATGGTGTAATCAGAATTTCAATGAAAGCTACTCAATCCATATGAACACAAAAACACTAATTTTCCCCCATAGAAAAAAGCATTAAAAAAAGTTTTTTTTTGACGATTCGCCTCCCTTTGTGAGCCACTCATGAGATATAACTCATTCGATGCATCTTAATGAGCTCTATGAAATGGTACATTTTTCATTGAAATAAACGCAAAACTCTGTGTACAAGATGCCTGAAATGCTAGAAATCGGGATCCGGAGCAGAATAGTTCGTGACGATTCGCTCCACTTTCTGAGTCACTCATAAGATGTAGCTCATTCGATGCATCTTAATGAGCTCTATCAGATAGTACATTTTTTATTGAAATGAAAGCAAAACTTTGGGTACAAGATGCCTGAAATGCTAGAAATCCGGATCCGCAGCAGTATAGTCCGTGACGATTTGCTCCACTTTCTGAGCCACTCATAAGATGTAGCTCATTCGATGCAGCTCGATGAGCTCTATCGATTGATATATGCTTTGTTTGATTATAAGCAAAGCATCGATAGCTAGGATCCCAAGGGAACCCCGATTTGGGAGTTCCCTTGCGATGCTAGCCGGCGATGCTTTGGTTTGAATTGAACAAAACAAATACCATTCGTTAGAACTCATTAAGGTGCATCGAATGAGCTACGCTTCGTGAGTGGCTCAACTAATGGAGCAAATTGTCAGGCAAGGAATTGCAAAACCCCGATTTCGGGGGACTCTTTGAATCCTAGCTGGCGCTTCTTAGCTTCTAATTAAACAAAGCATATATCAATCGATAGAGCTCATCGAGCTGTATCGAATGAGCTACATCTTATGAGTGGCTCAGAAAGTGGAGCAAATCGTCACGGACTATACTGTTGCGGATCCGGATTTCTAGCATTTCAGGCATCTTGTACCCAAAGTTTTGCTTTCATTTCAATAAAAAATATACCATTTGATAGAGCTCATTAAGGTGCATCGAATGAGCTATATCTCATGAGAGACTCACAAAGGGAGGCGAATCGTCAAAGAAAACCTTTTTTAATGCTTTTTCCTTTGGGGAAAAATTAGTGTTTTTGCGTTCATTTGGATTGAGTAGCTTTCATTGAAAATTCGATTACAACATTTAATAGAGCTGTCCAAGCTGCAACTGGCTCACAGCTTTCCTGTGTTGGCTCAGTAAATGGGGCGAATCGTTTTGAAAAATATTCGAATCGGCTGCTAACTTCCGTTGCATCAATATTTATTCGTTTTTCAATGTTAAACTCGTCAGATCATTGCTCTGACTTATTGCTGCTTTTTCTAAAAATATCTTTTTGTTAAAATATTTATGTTTTTGAAAGCTTCTAGTCGTTGCTTCCATAACAGATATGGATATCCTTGAACAGAGACATTAAAAATAAAAATATTCCAAAAAATCTTTGGCTTTTGAAGACGATTCGTATTCATTTCGACTGTGCGCTGGACTCGAACAGAAGTCTGTGATGTTTTCACTTCTGTTCATGACTTTTCAGACAAAACTATCCACGAACTATGCGCCTCAATAAGCACAATTGCCGATGCCAAACTTGACTCTTAGCTCTTAGTAAATTACATAGCTCAATTCGTATATTCTGTTGTTGGCCGCTCAACATGCTGCTTTGTCAACCCGAATCTGACTGCTCATTTTGTGAAATCTTGATCAGTACGAAAGAAACAGAGTTACTGATTCCCGACAAAACCCGAAGAAGTACACTCTGTATGTTAGTGGAGCATCGTCGAATCAGCTTCAGCAGAAAATGTAGGTTGGGTAAAAGTCTGCATTGATCGGAAACAAAAGTGCGAAAAGGTTGACATCTTACTCTGATCAGCATACTTCAGTACTCCACTTTGCCGATACATTTTGACAAATAAGAAGTTACTAGTCGCCAGAAGACTAAGATTATGATGTTCAACGTAGCCTATCATCTCGGATTCACAAATAGTCCCTGGCATAATTGTTGACAAACGAAAGCGCTCTATCATTACTACAAAATACTGACTTGAGATCTTTGTGCAGTGCCCGAACCAATATCCTTCACGATAAAGATTTCAAGAGAAAAATGTCAAAAGCTCTTGAAATTCAGCAATCATTCTCCATATCGACAAGTCACAAATGCATTCCCTGTGACATATCCTTAGAATGAACGTCGGCCTTAGTGAAGAGACTATCCATATCAACATTCAAAAAGATACGCATCGCATTCACATCTACACACAGCCACATATCTGCATCCATACCTGCACCCATTCATGTCCATTTCAGTCAGTGACCTCCGATTGCATTACCAACAGAACGAAAAAAACTTTTATGTTCCTCTTTTTCGTTGCTACAGCATGTTTCTTCGTGACCATAATCAACAACTGTGAAAAAGGCTGCTTTAGCCATCAGCAAAAAATGTAAGTTGTTCTCTTAAATATGAAGCATCGATTCGACTATCAACTGTTGGTTCTTTTGTGTATTTGTTCGAATAATGAGATTTTTGTTTCATGACTTGTTCTAAATGCGTATTTTTATGTGTGTTCTGTTTATCAAATAAACTTTCGGAGAGATTGTTATCAATAACTTCAAACTGATTTTTTAAAAACAATATCTTGCTTGTCTCTCCTCTAAAGCTTCATACATTTGCTGTGTCACATTCTTCGAAATATCATTCTATTTATTATTATTCACATAAAGATTATGATTGATTAAGCATACAGACTTCATATACCTAGCTGAATTCATATTTAACATTTTCATTGATGCTATTTTGCTGGGAATTCCCACAATAATCTTCGTCATGAGTAACTGCCTCTGAATAGAAACTTGTGGTTGTGCAAGAAATACTTTCTTAATCTCTTGAGAGAATGTACATGACTCTCTCGAAATCGAAATAAAAAAATGCAATAAGAATCGCAATAAGCCTTTTCAATGTTCTTAACAGTGTTCTTTTTTCATAATGTTTTATAAACAAAGAATCGTAGCAACGTGCAAAATAACGTTGTGCTTTCTGTTTCTTAGTAATGTCGAAAATCAGCAGCGCAAAGTTTTTTTTTTCTTCTTTGTTAGAGCCCGCCTTGGAGACAATCAGTTGAATACTAGCTTTTGTTTGTCTTCTCTTCTTTTAAAAACTCGTTGAAAATAAGTTTATTTTATTTATCGACAGTGCACAACTCAAAGAGAGAAGCAGCAACTGACAGCATTTCATAGTCGAACCAACAAAAAAATGTATGTATACTATTTTTTCTTTTATTCACATTGGATCAGTTGATACTAAGCCCCATCTGGAGTCACAAAGCTTCTATTAATAGACAATTCATCATTGATCCTAGAGAATATACGCATGTGTATTTGTAGAATAATTCTTTCCTTTCAAAGCTCTCCAAGAGATATATTTCGCATAGGAGATTGAAATAAAATATTGAAGACACATGAAATGAATTGAATAGTTATTAAAATAACTCTGAATGTTCTAAACTCCATGATTGATGAGTTAGTTGGAAAATTTTATTTCACGTTTATAAGATCATTTGATTAGTATTGATCATCAACGTTTTACAATATGAAAATATCAATCTATCAATCTAAGCAGCAATCTCTCAGTTTAAGCACTCCTGTAAAAGGCAGAGATTCTTTGAAACGTATATTTTGTTATATGCATATAGGAAAGGACTGTAAGATTTAAATTGAAGACAGATGCTGAGGTGACTCTTGAATGTAGAATAAATCCGTCACCTTTGGTGTTTACAGATGTGTGAATGTGAATAAAGTTGGTTCCTATTGTCGGTAGATATAGTACTTGTCGAAATATTCGATAAGTTAGAGTGGATTTTTGTTAGATTGATAGCACACAAAATTATGCATTTTGTGACCGAAATAGATTGTCGTTTTTAAGTTGAAAATGTCTAATCATTTGGATCCGTTTCTTTGAAGGACCACAGTAACAAAACAGCCCTATGGTGACTTGCACAACAGTTTCGGTTTGTTTTCTGGTGAACAAATATTGCAGCAGTGGGAATCGAACGAATGTGCCAGTGATTGTTGTGGAGTCATGCACTATACGACGCTCACTGATCATCGACTTTTGCTTCGGTATGATGCATGCACTCCATTTTCATGCATGTGTAGCTGCTGCTGCAAGCGACCTCACAACGATAAATCTATCTTTCTGAACCACATTGCCGAGATGGATACCGATAGCATGGGATGTTGTGTGAAATTTAGCGCATATTTGCGATGTCGCTGTCCTCAAGATGGAATCGTTCTCAATGGTTCCTTCAGTAATTCAGCTGGCGGTGGAATTTTGGGTTTTCTCGGTGGTGGAATGACTCCAGGTGCAAAAGTAGCATATTTCAGCACCAATGATAAGCCCAGTGCACAGCTTGCGATTGCCACAGCAATGAACAATGCGGGTAAACGACATTAAGTCCTGACTCTGATGAATTATCATTTGGAAATTCCTAGCATTGAACTTATAAGCGTAATTTGCTTGACAAAAATATTTTATTTGAAATAAAACTTTTTCTGCTTCAATAAACATTGTAGAGCAATTCGAAATGATAGAATGAAAGTGTGTGTATAGACAAATGTGAATCTAGCTATGAATGAATGTGAATGTGAGGTGTTGGTGTATATAGATGTGAGATATGCGCGCGGTTGAGTTGTTGCGATGTGAATTGAGTTGGAGTGGGATTTGGATGTGGATGTGGATTTTGAGGCCGTGGGTGTATGTGCGGTTATTAGCATAGTATAGATTTATCAGGATGGGCCTGTTTGAAAGTGGGCATGAAGAGAACATCCTCAAACCACATGCATCCATACACTTACAAGAACGTTCTCTATATCGAGAGGTCACAGATGTGTTGCTTGAAACATGTATTTAGAATCGAACATGCCAAGGTTGTTCGATACAGTTGTTCAGCTATATCTGATGAGTAACAACCAATACGTTATTGCTGTTTATGCTAACAAACTCGACGCGTTGTGAGCCACCGGTGGCTCACGACATGTTTTGATGAGTAAAATAATAAAAAGCATTTTTTTCTTTTTTTCTAACTAGTAGCTGATGCATATCTCACGTCCACCATGCATCCATCATTGTCTGACTCATTCATTACATAGAGTAATGGTTTGCATTGAAACAATTCAGACAATAACATTTTTCGCAATCAGAAGAGTACACGTTGATTCTCTTTGCTACCACCGCCCTAGCTTCTCTTGACTGTTGTTGCCTGCTTTTCTTGTAGCAGCCAGCACAACATCTTCGGAGATTTCGCGCAGATTCTTCCTTTTCTTCGAGCTTGTGATCAGTTAGTTTTCGCTTCGAATGGCTTGTTGATTGTTGTCTCGGGTCAGATTTCAGATTCTCAAATGGCGCACCAAGAAGTAAAGATCGCATAAGACTTTGGCGAAAGTGCAGAATGGTGAGTTCGCTTGCAGCACAGTTCTCCTTGTATATGAAATAGCTATTAGCTACTGCCGACCCAAAAATGAATTCGAATTGCACCTTTGAGTACCATTTTATTGACCGTCTGAGACATATATAGTATGCTGATAGCTGCCCAGATAATTCACTGCCTTATCTCTCTTTGTTGTAATCTAGTAAACTTGTGGCTTCATAATGCATTCATTGGGAATATTGGGTTTTACAGTGTCCACTACAGTTGCTGAATAAGACGGCTTTGTGAATATCATCAAAACGTCTCGTTTGTCTTTTCACATGATCAACTTTATACCCTCTTTTTTCTATAGTCCGGAAAGTTCATCACACCTGAGCTTTTCCTGAAAAACTTCGTTCTCTGATTTGGCACGATTACTTCTTAATGTCGCAATAAGATACGTATCATATTCCAACAAACGTTCTCCAAGAGAAATACTGGTAAAGAAGTTGCCAGCTACTACGGTTCGATAATATTTCGGAAGACTATCCAATTAATTCATTGTGGCTATTTGCGCGCCTTCAAGATCTGTCATGGGGTCTTGCTCACCAGTATTGATCACATAATTCAAAGTGTATCTATTAGTAGCCGCTACCTTGTATATCTTTACGCCCTATTTGTACGCTTTTTCAGGAACATATTGTTTGAAGAAAAGCCTGCCTCGCCATGGTGCCATTGTTCCGTCGATAGTAATCACTTAGCCAGGAATGTATACTGACGAAAATCTGACTTTCAGTAAATCCAAAAGTGGTCTCAACTTGAACAGTCTATCTTGGCTTGAATGCTTCTCATCGTTCTTCGAAAAATGCTAAAGCTTGAAGAGCAATCCAAGTTCGTCTCTCAGCATGACACTTTGAATGATCTCGGATTCATACAACTGACTGTTGCTTCAGTAGTAGCTCAGTTTCGGCATTTGTACCAACCCCATCTCGATGATAATTCCAAAACAATTTGAGCATCATCTCATCAGTGGTTGGTTTCCATTGAAGAACTTTTGATCATCTGCTAATCGCATGGGTTTGCAAGTATTGCTTCGCATATCGATTAGCTTCACAAACCATAAGACCAATAATTTCGTCCGTAATGAAATGTTGATAGCAATCGATAGGATCGATTGTATTACCTTCTGAAGCAGAAGTTACTTCTTCGATGAGTCCATGATCTTCCAGGAATGTTGCATCCGATTCTGATTCCATTTCAATCCAGACGTGTGAATCAACCTCATCATTAATAACTTCTTCGTCGAAACTTTGCAGATTCAACGTACATTCTATCAAAATTATCATCCAAAGAACTCACTTCACTGAGTAAGCTAGCATTCTCTTCTGTGTAGGTTTTGTCAAACGATATGTGAACTATTCCAAAAGTTCAATTGCTTTAATAAATAAACGAGAGAGAGACAAGAATTAGAAAAGAAAGCTAGAAATTTCGTTTTCTTATCTCGCACGTAGTACCTACTACATGTAACAGAACGAAAAAGTAACTTGAGCCATTATTCAGTTGGACGCAAATAATGATCCACTATCTGACGATACAAAGAAGAGAACGATAAATAAACGGTAGAAAATAATGAAAAGGTCAGTAAGTGCATTTATTAGAAGTTAATGGTCCATGAAAATTTATATTTCAAAGAAATCTTCTAAGAAAACTGAATCGCGTCGAATGTCTTAAAAATCTCTTCGTGAGGGTCAACATACCGTTGTATTTCTTCTCTATGAAAAAGAAACAATGCGTCGCCTTATATTTTCTTCCAAAAACTTGTTTGGGCGGAGCCCAATCACGTAACTTTTTCTAACTATGCCACTACTTACGAGCCTTATTTTGTTCATACAGTGCACCTCAAAAGTCTCGCATCACTTTTTTTGTTTTGAGTCGTGTATTTAAATTGCACAACAATAATTTAATTCGACTGTAGGCATGTATAGCAGAGATCAAGTATTATGTATGTACATCTATTTAATTTGATGAAGCCTTGAAATTAAAATACAATAAAAAAAGACAAATTTCAAGCTAAGAAAAAATGATATTATTGTCATGAAGGGCCCTGTCAGATTAGGTCAGCTATTCAGAATCGATAGGACTCGGCAGAACAGTGTGAATCTTCTTTTCGACCACACTCTCTAATCCGTTTAAAGTCTTATGAAAATAGGATTCTTTGCAGACAATTTCTTCAACATGGTATATTTGGTTTTTAAATTTTGAATAGCTCACCTAACCCGCAAAGGGTTCTTTATAACAATAATATCATTTTTTTCTTTTTTTCTCCCATCGTTTTCTTAAAACAAGAGTTTGCTTTGTTTCTATTGTATTTCATATTCCAATCTTTATCGCAGTAAATGACACGCATATATGTAGTACTCGATCTCTATTATACAGGTTTAGAGTTGAATTATATTAATGTTGTGTAGTTTCAATACATGACTCAAAAGAAAAACGTGGCGCTAGACTTTTCATACGCACTATATGTTACCAAGGATACCGGTATTACTGCAACATTAAACAAACATATTTTCAAGTTTTATCAATTATACTGTTAGAAATCAAATTAGTGTGGCCACCAATCGTCACTTTTCACGCCCGTATTCGACAGGTGCCCGTACTAAATACAGATACAAGTACCCAATCCACTGGTTGCAGTATCTCAGGCCCTAATATTTTCAACTGAGACAAACAACTTTTGTTTCCCGCAATATTGTCAAATAAATCTTGTTTTGAGAACTGTATATAACTCACCATCATTTTCTCGATACTATTATCGACTTCTGAAAAACTTTACGCTCTGTCTACACATTTCTGATGACTCAATGAATCATAAGATATAGTGTTCAGTAGAAATCTAAGCCACTTGGGTGAGCTAATATGTGGTCAACATTTCTCGAAAATTTGTTACTTGTCACCGTCGAAAACAATGAAGGGTTATAGACTATGTCCTAAACTGTCAGTACTAACGATTCTTCGAGTTCATATAAATGTGCTTGGTTGCCGAAAAAATCAAATACACTATGCATCATCTTCAACCAAAACGAAACGATTCAAAATTAAACATGTTTCATTCTCGAGTTTGCCTTCAAGAGGTCAGTATTTACTCATTTCTCAATGCTAAACTTGCCAGATAACTTCTGTGAATTTTTCCTACTTTTTCTACAAGATCGTTCTATTGAAATGTTTGTATTTTGGAAAATTTTCAACCGCTGCCTGCAACACACATTCGTATATCCTTGGACAAAGGTGTCAAAAATGAAAATATTCAAAACATCTTTAACTTTTGACAATATGTTCTCTCATATATCTAGATACCGTGAAAATCTCAACAAGTGCAATAGCCTCTAACAATTACCAAACCTTTTTTCTCGACTACACTTAAATTCCTATTTGAAGGTATTCATTTAAACCGGAACATGGTACATTCGTAATTTTTCTGAATTGCATATAAGTTAAAACTCTCGATAAAAAGACTTTTATATTAGAAAGAAATAGGAAAAAACGGTGATTCAAGCTCTCCCAAAATCTTGACAATGCTGAGAAATCCTGTCAACCAGCTTATTTCGCATTCACAGACTCGAAGAAAGCATATAACTAGATTCCTTGAAACATGCTCGTGCGAGCCTTCAACTAGTGTAAAGTCCATTGCCGTCTACTGGAAGCCATTCATCCTTCTAAAATGATCGCGGGAACTATGCTGGTATAAACGGTAGCAATTCACTCCGATTTAGGATACAAGCTGAACTTGCTATGAGTTTGTGCTATCGTCGACTTTGTTCATCGTGTTTTGGACAAAGTTTTCCGCAAACTCTACACCCCGCTTTACAGAAATTGGGGATACAAGCATTGACTTTTTGCTCTTCGTAGATTGCATCGCTCAGTTAGTGTATTCTATTTTTGGTCCCTATATCTTATGAGGCACTTCGAATTTGATTGCTCAATTTCTAGTATACTGATCAGTACAAGGGAAATAGAATAATTGCTTCCATCGAAAAAGTCAGAAAAG